GTGTCACGGGAAGGAAAATGGCCACGTATCCTGTTCATACCCTGAGGCAGAGTTCGCAAACTGAGGTAAATTTTTGCGGCCGGAGCTGGTCGTAACCCGAAAAGTTCGTTAACAGAGACGTTCATAACCTGAGGTACCACTGTACATGCACTTTTCGTAATCCAACCTATTTATGGCATTGTTTTTAATGTCTCTTAATTATCCATTTGTGTTGTTTGGTCAGCAAATACCATGAGATACAACAGGCACATCAAGGCAGGAAGACATCATATTGCTAATATGGGCATTCCATATGTTAGGGAGAGGACATGTCCATCACTGTATAATAGGGATCCAAAGTTCTTGCCCAAAAGGATGTCACTGGATGTAAAGGGAGTCTAGATGCATCTCCTCAAAATTGCTAAGGTATTAAAGGTCTTCATTTAGAAGACAGTCTGTGGAACAAGGCAGGAGATTTTGAAACTTCTCAGAAGAAGGTTTATGGAGGTGGAAGAGCGATTGTTTCCACTGTTGTGCATATAACTCTTGCTGTTGTCATCAGATATAAAAAGAATGTTCCATGAGTATTTTCCAACTCTTTCTTTGTCAATCAGTCCCAAAAGAAGCACCTCTGGCTTCAGCTGTATATTAATCTTTAAAATCTTTTGAATTAATGTATGTATTTGGGTCCAATTTTCTTTAGCTTTATTACATGCCCACCAAGCATGATAAAAAGTCCCCTCTTCTTCACATTTCCAACATAGATCTGAATTATCTTTATACATTTTATACAATTTTTCCAGTAAGAAATATTAGTGATAGCTCATTTTATAAAAATTCTCTTTAAGATTATAACACAATGTAAATTTCAAGTCTTTTCATCCAGACATTCTTTCATTGTTTCATTTGTATGTTACAACCAAAAAATTTAGCCCCTTCAATGTTACATTCTTTTACTTGTTTTTGTTCTGCTTCAAATCTCAATAAAAGTATATACATTTTAGCAATAACATGTTCATCATTTGTACATAATTCTGTTTCAAATTCAGTCTTACAATATTCAAAAACGAAAGTCCTTTTACCTACTTTAAAGCTTTCTAATAATTGTACATAGGAAAACGATTGGCACGTGAATCCTTTTAGTATCAAATGAACTCTTGATTTCATTTGGAATTCTTCATGGGAAAATTCTAATATATCACCATGTATGTTTAGTTACCAGTTCTCTTCTATAATATGCTTCTTGTGGTGAGAGCCACAAAGGTATTTTTGGACACAATCTGGATTTATACCTGTTCTATGTTCTCAATATGGCCCGTCCAACAAAATGATTTTTAAAGTCAACATTAACTTTAGCTTTATTGTACCACAAATATCCATGCCACCCAAACCTCAGGCCATGTCCTTCTAACTCCTATATTTCTCAGCATCATTCACTCTTTCATCCAGATTAAACAGCAAGCTGCCAAGTATAGTTTCAAATCAGGTGAACCCAATCCTCTTCATACTTTAGCATCTTGTAACACCTTGTATTTGATTCTTGGTTTTTAACTCTGCCATACAAATTAAGATATGTCTTTCTGCCACTCTTTAATTGGTACATCAGTTGTCAAAACAGGTATTGTCTGAAACAAAAATAACTTTCTGGGCAAAACATTAATCTTAATAACAGATATTCTCCCCAACAATGACAGTTCTAATTTTTCTCATTTTAGCAAACTTTTTAAACTTCATTCCATGTCTTAACATAATTATTTTGAAATAACGTACAGTTCATAGTTGTCAAAGTGACACCCAATATTTTACCTTTTTCTCAGTCTTGAAGCCTGTTTTGTTCATGAATTCTGTGTGATCTTGTATCTTCATATTTTGTTAGCACCTTTGTTTTCTGTTTATTAATTTTAAAACCAGCAATTGCACCAAATTCTTTTAATTTTCTCATTAGTAATTCAATCCCTTTTAAAGGATCTTCCAAAACCAGCACCAGATCATCAGCAAAAGCTCTCAACTTGTCTCTTTTTTCAGTTTTACACATGTTATCCTCTCATCTTGTCTTTCATCTGTATTCAAAACTTCAAGAACCAAAATAAACAGAAGAAGGGAAAACAGGCAACCTTGTCTTGTTCCTTTTTGTTTTGTTAGATCTCCATTAACAATAATGTGTACTGTCTGTGAAGTATAAATTGATTTTGCAGATTTTATAAAGTTCTCTCCAAAGTTCATATCTTCCAAACTGTAAAATAAAAGGGTCAATTTAAGTTGTCAAAAGCTTTTTCTGTATCTAAGAAAATTAGTGTAGCTTGTTTTTCATTACACTGTTCCACGTATTCTGTAATATCCAACACAGTTCTGGCCCTGTCTTTAACTGTGTATTAGGTAAAAATCCACATTGGTCTTCATGAATAAATTCTTGCAGAATTATTTTCAATCTGTCTGCTAAAATTGTTGTAAACGATTTATAATCATTATTCAATTAATTTCTTGTTCGAGTTAGATCTTGCCTCTCTTTAGGTATTTGTGCTATATTAGCCTCTTTCCAAGTCTCTGGCATCTTTCCTCCCTATAATACAGAATTCATCATATTTTGGAGGGGTTGTAGAACTTCATCCTCAAAACATTTATAATAAGAACCTGATAGTCCATCTGGTCCTGGTACTTTTCCTGGTTTAATCTTTTTATAGCTTCAGAAACTTTGCATATTTTTATGGGTCCATTCATAATCTGCCTTTGGTTCTCAGTAAGTCAGGGCAAGTTTTGTTTGTTTAAGTATTCATCTATTTTTTCAAAAGAAATATCATGTCCTTATACAAGTTAGAATAATACTGATGAAAAGTTTTTTGTATAGCCACATTGTTCATTAATACAGTATCTCCCTCTTGAAGTTTCAAAACCAATTTCTTTTCTTTCTCTTTTCTTAATTTATACACTAACCATTTCCCTGATTTGTTCACAAATTCAAAATTCCTTTGCTCTGCACAGTTCATCTTTATTTCCATTTCTCTTACTGTTAACATAGATAAGTGTTGCTGTAAAAGTTTAATTTGAAGTGAAATGCTGATTTTTTTCTGGTGGTTTCTTTTATTCTTCCTCCCTTCTTTTTATCTCATTCACAATAGCCTGTATTTTCTCTCAATTCTTCTTTTTAAGTTCAGTATTATGTTGTATGAAGTAACCTCTAATGAAAGCTTTACTTGTATCCCAAACCATTCTTAAGTCAGTTCCTTTAAGTTATTTTCAAAAAGTCTATTAATTTCTTTCTGCAATCCTCTACTTTCTGTAATAATGTTTCATTTAATCTCCATGTTTCATTTAATTTCCAAGCAGGTAGGTTTCCTTTTAAAAATCAAACTCACAGGATTATGATCAGAGAAAGTCTTTCGTAGAATCTCAACTTTAGAGATCTTAGTAGCCAATTTTTTTGTGAGTTCATCTGTTTTTAATTTGTGGGGTACCCCATCCTTGTGCATCAAAATGAGCCATATGAAATCTTTTTTTTTTTTCAAAATAGAAAAAAGCCATGTATTTTAGAATGGGAATATGATTATGGCACATTAGTTTTTTTTATTTGTTTTTACACATACTTATTTTAGCTCTTATTAAGAATGATTCCCATCTTGGTTTGCAGAGAATTATGAAATACAAGAAATGAATTATTACAAGCCTTCTGCTAAACAACTTCATGTAATTTATTTATTGAAAATATTTATATGGACACCCGTCTTAAAATCAGAATTCTTGGTGGCTCACAACCATAGGATAAAACTATATTGTACAAAAACTAAAAACAAGAAACAATAAAACCAGAAGCAGAAAAACCCAGTGCCACAACCAAACTTCCTCAATTCAACCCACAGCACTCTCCTCCACTTCTGATCTCACCCTGTCGCAACGCTTGGGGAAGTATATAAAATAACTTTATATTTTCACTTTCTATTAGTAAAATAATAATTCCATTTTAATTATTCAAATTAAATGGAAAAAAGAAAAAAAAAACAGAGGTGGACAGAGGTAAGTCCCATTGTGACAATACAAATAAAATACATTTATGCTGGTGTAGGCTTTTGTGGCCAGTATCTGTTGGTCATTTTGGTGGTGACCAGTCAGGAACCAACACAACCAAAATGGGAAATGACTCTTGTGTACTGATTTTCATAATTGCAGGGGATACCATAAGTTTTGCTTTGCTTTTGGCATATCTTCAGGAATGCAACTGCTGAAGCAAACATATTTGTGAAGTCATCTTATGACTTTCTGATGCTCATTATTGATAAAAGAGGGAATAATAGTTGGAATAACAGAATTATAGAGTAGAGTGGAGTCTTAGAGGGAACATGGAAAATGTGCTCAGAAATATATTAGACAGGTGTCCTCAAGTTTGTAAGGTATGAATGATCAAGTATCAGAAAAAGTGTGCTTTAAACAGTGGTGTCGCTGGGGCAAGGGGTGTCAAATAAGACATGATGTAGACATCATTATACAAGCTTTGCCTCTTTTGTACATATATTAATATTAGATGTATGTACAACGGAGATGGGGCTTTTATTGTGATAACATAGCCGCCATCTTGCATTTTTGGTACCTCTGTAATACACTGTTGATTCTTAATGTTAACAAGTTTGTGGTCTACTTGGAAAAGTCATGATTTTGACTATATACATACTGTTTATAGAACGTATAAGTAAGAATAATGAATGGATTATTAAACACTACCTTATAAAACTTTGATAGACTGTTTATTCATTTATTGGTGCAAAATACCAAGGATATGAATGATTCCCCAAACTGTTTTGATTTATTGCTTTCTTCGTATCAGCTGCTCCCTGTTATTTAACTGAGGCCTCAGCACAATAATGTAGCATTTAGGGGAAAAGATGCAACTGAGTAATCCAGCACTGGAGGCCAAGATGGAGAAGATCTCCACAACCACCATGTATTTTCCTTTGGTGCTCAAATAGGTTGGGATGAATGACAACCAAACACTGCAGAACACCAGCATGCTGAAAGTGATGAACTTGGCTTCATTAAAACTGTCTGGCAGCTTCCTGGCTAGGAAGGCCACAGTGAAACTGACAATGGCCAGGAAGCCCAAGTAGCTCAAAATGCTATAAAACATGGTGATTGAGCCTTCATTACATAAAACAATTACTTCCTCAGTCACTGAGTGCATGTCCACATCAGGAAATGGGGGGGAAATTGCCAGCCACAGAACACAGATTCCTGCTTGAAATTTGGAGCAAGTGAACACAATGGAATAGGCTAGTCTTTTCCCCACCCATTTCCTCATCTTGGATCCTGGCTTGATAGCCATGAAAGCTAAGACCACAGAAATGGTTTTTGCCAATATACTAGAGAGGGACACAGAAAAGATGAAGCCAAACGTGGTTTGGCGAAGAAAACAGGTTGTTTGGCTTGGCCTTCCAATAAAAAGCAAGGAACAGAAGAAACACAAGAGGAGGGAGATGAGAAGAAGGTAGGTGAGACTTCGATTGTTGGCTTTGACAATGGCAGTATCGTGGTGCTTCAGGAAGATGCCTAGCACTAGAACTGTGATCAGAGACAGTAAAAGCGCTGAGAAAGTTGCAATGATAGCCAAAGTATCTTCAAAAGTGAGGAAGTTTGGAATTTTAGGAATGCATTGATCCTGGAATTTGTTTGGATAGTGATCCTCTGGACAACTGAAACACGTTTCTGTATCTGAAATCAACAAACATACAGTTATTCAGAAAGAATCATAATTCACATCCTCTGGTGTAACATGTTTACAGAGACCCAGCTGTATATTCATACAGTTAATGTCATGTAGCAAAATATTCTTATTTTAAATGGCCCTGGATGTTGCCATATTATTTGTAGGTAAAGCTGTTTTATTTATTTACTGACTGGAGTATGTGGTTAATACTGCTATTTGTCTTTCTTCCCTTTGCTTTTGGATAGGTTGCAGATCCATCTTTCTATCTCATGGTTTAGGAACAAATCCTTTGGATCAGTTCAGAAAGTTTCTCCATGACTTGTAAATAGTTTTCTAGTAGCTTTTGGCAATTGCTACTTTTTAAATCCTCATATTACATGCCTCAAAATGGACAAATAGTTGCTTTGCTTGGGACCCACAAAGGCAATTTTCAATTAATCATACAAACAACTACATTCTTACAGAACAGATCCTTACAGAATGGATTGCCACTTCTGTCTCCTTTTAGCTAGAAGACTACATTTATTACTCTCTCTTCTCATTTATTCATGCTGTCTTGATTCTGAGCTGTCATACTGTCAGTCTCTAATGATTATACTCAATTATCTTCCAGATTAGAAGATTAGCTGTTATTAAATGGGCTACACATCAGTATTATTTGTGAAGTTCATTTTTCATTTGTCCTGAAAAGGTTGCTTCTAATAGTCAAATGCCAGTGGGGAAATGTTGGAAGATCAGCAACTGATTTCTATAAATAAATATCTACAAAGCAAGGAAAAGCTACGTTCCACAATCCTTTAATTTTTTAAAGAAATACTTCATATACTGAATCTGGAGAACAGCTTCTTGCATTTTTTCTGAACCACTTGCTATAACTTAGCACAATATGTCCTACCCTCTTGGTTTGAGAACATCCCATCTGGACATGGAGCACAATCATAGCAGCAAAATTTCTCCCCCTCCTTCTTTTTCTTACTGTAGCCAGGATGGCACTTTTCATTACACAAGGAAAGAGGTGGTACCTATCCAAAAATATAGAAATTGCTCTAGCATTAAGGAAATTCTTACAGATTTCATCTCATGTTTGATGTTTCACTAGAAGTATTTGGAGGAACCATCTACCGTATGTTTGAGAGTGGGAAACTGTATCTCTTCTATGCAGCATCAAACAGAAAAAGATTAGGATTTCCATACTTAGAGTGATGGATGTTTCAAGTAAAACAGCATTAAATAAATTTTAAAAAAAAAGCACTGATTTAAGAATTTCTGCCAGATTTCTAAAGCAGGTATGGATAACTAATTCTTTCCAATTATTGTCACTTATATAGGTTCTACTGGAGCAGCACAGTGAGTTTACACAATATGATAAGTTAGGTTAAAATAAAACTGGGGGTTCAGCCTGTTGTAGAACTTGGCCATTATCTCAGCATTTTGCATGAAACAGGCCATTGTGCTAAGTCATTATACTGGCTCATTTGTTCAGGTCTAACGTGTTATATGAATGCAGGAGTTATGTTTGTTAACCTGGGCTTGGAATTTACTGTCTTCTGGATACTCAGCCAGTGTATGTTTCCAGTTCAGCTGGTTCTTTATTTTCTTTGTAGGATGAACTTTCTGTGGGGTCAATAAAGTCTTGGCTGGACTAGGGATCACTGTTCAGCTCTAGTGGCATCATTTGGGGGTGAATATTGATCTTTCAAAAACAGTACAGCTATTTTCCCACCTGAGTGAAATCTCTCTCCCATTCAATGTCGTCCTTATTAATAGTGAATCCTTTGTGAGGATCCAGCCTTCCGACTTGGACCTTGATATAGGAATGATTAGAAAAAGTGACCAAGTTTGTAATATCAAATCCACCTGCCAGTTCTCCAAGTTCATTGAACATGATTTCATCTCCTGCACTATTGTTGAATGAAATCCTCTGAAGAAATGAATGAAGCTGCATGAAGAAGGAAAAATAATATAATATAAAAGATAGCAACATGCTTTCTCTTTTTTTCCAAATGGCTCTTGTTTGAAGGGCACTGACTAAAATAATAAAGGTTTACTTGGAATTCTATTCTTTTCTTTAAATGATTAAGTAGTAAGTTCTGGGAGTAGTTTAGGACTTACCCCTAACTAGCAAAGCTCAGATGAGAAAGCACATGAATATTCCCTTCACTCAAATATACCTACACACCATTCCTTTATGTGCATTCATACATATCTACAAACATGAATCCTAGAGAAAGGAGAGGAATCTTTTCTAAGCTTTGCAGTGAGAAGCAGACTTATTGATTCAGGGACTAGCACGGAATAAACTTTCTAGAAATATCTCAATTCCAGGCATTCCAGAAAGGGATTGAATTTTATCAGATGGACAAATTACTTGGGGAAAAGATAGTAGCCTGCTCCAGAAGTGAAGAAGAATGTTGGAAGATTGGGATGATATCATAGATATATCCCTATGATTACCTTATAGGTGTGAATTAAGCCATGGACTGGAAATTGTCCATTTCTACATGGAGTAAATTGCCAGCTGATATCAACAGAACATCCTCTTATTTGCTATTTAATAAAGATACTTTGGGGAGCAGGAAGACAATCTTTGCATGAATAGCTTCCTTCGGGGGTATTTAGGCCCTGTCCTTACAAGTTTTCATGGAACAATGTATGATTCACTTGGAACCAAGTTAGGGAAGGTCTGCAAAACATAGTTTCTGGAATTCTTTCTAGCACTTTAATAATAGCTCCACTCTTGGTCATGTGATCTAGAAGAAAGATATCTTGGGAAGCATAAAATGGAACTGTTGGCAACCTTCTTAGCTGCTTCTCAATGGTTTTTTTCCCCCTGATTTTTTGGGGTAGATTGGGTCCATTTTCAAAAGCCTTCTTTCTTTTGCTGGCTTATCCCCTCCATATCAAATATGGCTTAGTTCTGTTGCGTTTTCAGGCAGCAATCCCACTGCTGGACAGTCAGATAGAATCCTAATTCTCCATTGTATCATTTTCCCTCACAGTGTATTGGATTGGAAAAAAAAATGAAAAGAAATCCTCATTCCCCGCTAATTATATAAGGGTGTGAGAGTTGGTGATTACTTGAGAAGTTGTAGTTCACAACAGAATTATTAACCATTTCTTTGCCCTATTTAAAGTGTTCCCAATAAAAACCTAAGTCCTTAAATTATGAAATAAAAACCAATCCATCAAAGCAATAAAAATCAGTGTACCTATATTCTTAATATAAAGTGTGCTTTGGTTCTAGTAGTAATCAATGGCATTCTAACCAGTGGTTGACTTGTTTGTCCAAGTAGTGAAGAAGGTAAAGACTTGCTCAAGTTGAGCTCAACTCACAAGTCCATGCAGGGTTTTGGTAACAGTATGGAGCCATTTTGCCTTTCAAAATCTACCCTACACTTTTGGGATCTCCTGGTGATCTCCCAACTAAAGTGCCAACTGGATATGACCCCACTCAGCCTCCAAGAACAGAAAAGGTCAGATGGATCTTTCCATTTTTTTAACTATTGCCTTTTATCATTCAAGTAACATTACCTGCCAAGGTTTTATATTCTGAGGTGACAGTCTGCCTCCATGCTCCGATAGTCTGTGGTTGACTCTGCTTGAGTACACTGCATGTAATGTATGAGCCAATGCATAGACAGCATTATAGATACTATAACTATGGCCAATCATGGTAGTTTCAAAGAATGGTGCAGGAAGACTCTCTAATGTTTCCTTTCCAGTACATTGTCCAAAGATGAGACTTAACACATCAGTTTTGGAAAGGAAACAACTGAACGCTTGTTGCCAGAAATCATGGATAAAACCATCTCCATCTTCCCAAAAAGGATTTACAATCTCAAGAAATTGTTGAAAACCTTGAATTTGCTTCGAATCAATGTTGAAAGAAAGAGCACCATGGAAGATTTGGATTTTAACATCAAGAATCTTTTGAAAGTGAAATAAGGTAAAATCAATTTGAGCTGTGGTAACCCATACCTTTGTTGCACTGTACTTCTCCTTTTCCTGTGGAAATATAGATTGGATGGTTTGAGTTGTTTCTATAGCAACTATTAACCATGTAATTGATGCAGTTTCTCCATGAATAATGACGACTTTGACTGTACTTAACCTAAAATTCTTCAGAATGTTCAGTCTGTCAAAGACCATTGTGTCTATTTTATCAAAAAAATAGATATGTTTTGTCAACCTTACTGAGAAAGCTGGACAGATTCCTCTCTGTAAAAGCATTTGCTCAACAGTTCGTAAGAAATAATTTCCACTCTCATCGTCTATAGCCATGAGTCCAATCCACCGCCATTGGAAATACAGAAGCAATTGGACAAGTCCACGGTACTGAAGTAATTCACTAGGAACCATGCGGAGAAAAGGAGGGGAATGGCTCTGATCATTGGATGCTGGTTCAAATGAGCCATATGAAATCTTTTCAAAAGAAAAAAAAATGCAAATATTTCAAACAGGGATTGTAGTTTGTTCTTTCTCACAAATCATTGGTTCATTTATTTATTTATGCACACTTTTTCTTATCGAGAAATATCAGTGAAGTGGCTTACACAGAACTGTGAAATGCAATCAGACAAAAAGAATTTGCCAGAAAAGCAAAGAAGAAAGGAAGCTGATCTTCTGAAGATTAGTAGCTGTAATTCATAACAACAACCACAACAATGACAACCCCAAAATATATTCACTCAGGAGCAAGAAACCATTGTTTGAATAATATTTGCACTTGGAAACTTTTCAGATAAGAATAACATGAAAATTAAATAGTATATTAAATAGTTCGAACTCAAATTTAAAAGTTAAAATAGTAATTTGAAAAGTATAACTTTCTAAAATAGTACTCTGAAAGTATAATGTTTAAAATCTCTATTACATCTCATAAAAAAAAACTTTTATTTTTTTTTCTGAGTGCTCATCAGGATGAAAACCACTCTGTCAGGAAGAAATATCGAAGTAGAAAAGATTTGCCTGTTATAACAGCAGCTGCATAATAGATGATTTCTTTGATGTTTATAGCTAACAAATGAATTTTTTACCTGTTGAATTAATGCATAGTGTTATTTCATTCAAGATAAACATTAATTCCTGATTAATATAAGTGATGGCTTATTGTACTTATACACTTGATTAATATAAGTAATTGATTGATTGATTTTGTACCATCAAGTCATTTTTGACTCCTAGCAACCACATAGATAGATTTTCTCCATGATGATCTGTCCCTAACCTGTTCTTTCAGGTCTTCCAACTGTGTGCTCACCACCACTCTGAGTCCATCTACCCTCCTTCCACTTTTCCCAGCATTAATGCCTTCTCTACAGAACTAGGTCTTCACCTAAAGTTTGTGAGGTAGGATAATTTGAGCCTGGTCATTTGCACCTTGAATGAGAACTCTGGGTTGATTTATTTGATGATCAATTTGTTTGTTTTCATGACTATCCATGGTATTCTCGGGAGTCTTCTCCAATACCAAAGTTCAGAAGTGTCAATACACTTCCTATCCTGCTTCCAGTAATATAAGTAATACTGGATTCTAAGTAGGTAAATTTTGATTGAGGTCCATCACATATATTTATCTTGGTTCAACATCTTAAGTAAATTATCACATTTCTCAAAGCAATTGCAGATGCAGTGAAATCACTTTTTTGGTAGAAGAGTTCCTTTGAGTCGGTGACCTGCCCCTGCAGCTTTCTTGCCAAGATTTCAGAAGTGGTTGGCCCTTGCTTTCTTCCTAGGGCTGAGAGTGACTGACCCACGGTCACCCAGCTGGCTTCATTTCTAAGGAGGGACTAGAACTCATGGTCTCCTGATTTCTAGCCTGGCACCTTAACCATTACACCAAACTGGCTCTCTAATATTCAAGTTAGTCATGTCTAATTTAAACCCATTCATCATGGTATGACACAATCTGAATCCAGTGTACATATTTATGCATATGATAAATATTGAAACTATTTCAGCTCCTTTTATTTATACCTCATCATGTCACCCTAAAGGACCATTAAATTGCTAGTGTTAATAAAGGAGAAGAATTAATAATAATGGAGAAATTCTTTTGCCTTTCGTGTGTTAGTATTACCTGTGGAATCTTATAAAGATGTAAGATATCTGCCATGCGTGAGGTTGTATCAGAGCCAAATCCTCCAATAATTCCTATTACATTTTTCTGGCTGCCACATGTGTAATTTGGAATGAACCCTTGTATGGTGAAGAGCAAGTCCAAAATGGTACGGTAGGTCATCCTTGAATCAGAGTAGCTGTCATAGATGTGGAACCCAAGAGTAATGTTGGGTAAAATCTTGGAATTGTCATTGATCTCATCAATAGCAAAGACCAAGGCTAGGATATGCTGGTAGAACTTGGTCACCACTCTGGAAATGGAGGAATTTTTTGTTAGATGATAGTTTTAAATAGTACACAAAATCACTTTATGACACTATTGATATAGCTTTGAATGGAGAGTTCTATGCGCCTCACTATACAAAAGGAGCACAATTTAAGTAAAATTAATCAGATTAGCATCCTACTTGAAAATGTATTGTGGCTACCCTGGAGTAGATTGTGGCTTCAGGCTTTCATATGCTTGGATCAGTTTTTAACCCAAATAATATCTGTGACTTCTCAGAGCAGTTCTCAGCAGCATGGAGCTGTCAGAACACAATTTTATTTCCACTTTCTTCTTTTTGATAGCTTGAAACTGGAAAGCCATGGATGGTTATACTGCTTTTTAATGAGTCAGACTGCTGGTTCTTCTACCTCAGTATTGATTACACTGAGGAGCTTAAGCTGGCCTGTCCAGATAATTTTCTCATGAAACTGGCAGAGTGTTTAAAGCCATTACTAAGGAATCATCTCAGCAGGATCAAATCTGTTTACAGTATGTGCATAGAAACTTAAAACAATGTCTCTTGTATATGAATATAAGAACAAATAACCAGAGTTAATGTTTCTGATGAAGTGTATTTTTTCCACAGAAATGGTGTCATTAGTGGAATTGTATATCTGAAAATATGAGTGAAATTTTTATGAGTGAAGTCTCAAATATGAAACAAGAGATGGGGGGAAGGAAAGAATTTGTTAAGAAGAGCAGATTGGCCAAAAGAAATACATATCAAAAGGATATGAAAACTAAGCCACAAATAGATAATTAAAGTAAGAATGAATACAGAAAAAACAGCTAACAAAACTTAGATTGTTGAGGACATTTGGACTCACCACTTCTGATATTTATTGAAAGCCCTAATATGAAGGAAGAATTTAAACCCAGCATAAGTGGTCCTGATCATTAAGTATCTTATCCTATGATTGCTTTCCAAAATGTTTTATACTTTTTAATTTTTTTTCTTCCACTTTCAAACCATGTATTCCCTATGAAATTCAAAATAATGGGTGCCATATCCCTTTATAAATGCAACTGTGACATAATAAAAACTATTCTTCCATTGTCCCCTTCTGTAATGGGAAAACTCAAAACTATGTATTACAGCTAGCAGCGAGGAAAAAGAAATAGGGATCTGTGAAGATTTTGTGTCCAATAGAAGAGAATATATGTAGCTCAGGGTTGAACTGAGTCCACAGATTTTGTGCCATTGTGTCCCTTCTGGAATAATTCCCTTCTATGTACTAAAGGAGAATACAGCTGGATTCCCAAATATTCTATTGATAATATGAGCAGATTCTCCTCACAGTGAAGCTTGAACATTTCATTTTCTTATCAACAAATGACTGCTGTCTATATCCATCCATCCATCCATCTTTCCAAAATTAAGTACTTTGCAAACAGTCAAATAAACACGAAAAAACAGTAAAATAATAAACATTTTTATGGGGCTAGCATGTAGAGTGGGGGTGGTGAAAATTTCTTACATTGGGATGTTAATTGACTCCTGAGAAGGGTGTTTGTTGAACAAAATGTTGGAGAAAATATAATGGATATGAGACATGATCCCACCAATGAGGAAATTGCCTGGTTCATACCATTCATGTGGGATATACAGAGGATCATGTCCAGTGCATGAAAAAGCATGCATGCTGCTCACCCCTTTGGGGAGAAAGAGGAAAAGAAACAGAACCAGCATTACTCCTATTCTGATGACAATGTTTCCTCTGCACATGAACTCTCCCATTTCTCTCTGCTACATTATTACGACCATTGGCCAGATTTCAATCTGAGTGATTGGATGTCTGACAGCTTTATTTCCCAGAGGGCTTTGTATCCTCTCTGTCCTTTCTCTTCTTCAAATTACAAAGCAGGCTTTGAGGGCCACCTGAGAGCCAACTTTTGAAATCTGATGTATGCATTATGAGAGAAAAGCTGGCCCAAGTAACAGAGCCCTCCCATTCCCTTCTCCCTAATTTTACTATTGACAGAAGGCCGGGGTGCATATAAAACATTCAGATTTCATTGATACCTCTTTTGAAAAGCCACTGGAGGTTTTAGCACTGAGGAATATTATAGCGATTTCCATAATTATAGGGGGGGAAATAGAACTATTGAAGCGTAAACAAGTCATTCTTTCCACTGCATAAATTCTGTTTATTAAACAGGCTCATGTGTTCTGGAAGTCCAAAATGGAAAGTAGAAGTAATAAACAATCAATACAATTTATTAAAGAATAATGGAAGTCAACAGGTTCAGATTTTCTTCTACCATTGCAAAATAACAGAATAAAGTCAGAGACAAAACCATGAGCTCAGAAGTTGGCAATGGTAGGCCACTTCCATAACGCTACCAAGAAAATGCAGGGAAGCAATCACAGGGGTCATACTTGACTCAAAGACAGCTTGACCTTCTAAAAAATATCTATATATGATAGATCTCACCAAACTATGTCCTTGAACTCAGTGGCCTCTGTAAAACAAATAAACAAACAAAAACACCCCTACTGCCTTGAGCAAGGTTATGCTCAAAATCCTACAAGCTAGGCTTCAGCAATACATGAACTGAGAACTACCGGATGTACAAGCTGGGTTTCG